CCTACTGGGTGTCATCTTAGATTCAACACCTGCCTCCCGTCTTTGGGGGTGTGGGGACAATAATCATAAGGGTAGCTTCCTCTCTGAGAACTAATGACCTACAGGCCAGCCACCCTACCAAGGGTACTACTACCGTGACCCCCATTTTTCTAAGCAGACAGCTGGGGCTGCATCTACACCCGTGCCTCCAGCCTCCCGGATCAACTTGCTCTTCCTCTGCACATGTCCATCACCACTGTGGGCCTCCCTGAGGGCATTTGCCTGTCCCGGTTCCCGTCGGTTGTGGTCTCCGGTCTGCTGTGGTCACAAGGGATAGGAGTGTCAGAGGAGGAGTCCACAAGCCCTGAGTGAATGCTTCGGGAGCCTAGAACTCAGAGCCTGGGCTTGGGGGCATGGCCTCTGAGTGGGCAGTGGGGAGTGTGGCCACAGGGGGCTGGGAGCCAGGGGAGAGGCGGGGGAGCAGGGGGAAGGGGTGACCTCCAGGTGGGCACAGCCAACAACCTCTATGGTGGGGGGCTGGTGGGGGGGAGATGCCATATCCATTACCTCTCTTCTCCCCTCTGGACCTGGATTCTCTCATCCAGAGGGCACCCTGAACCCCCTCTAGCCATGAGTTCATCAGAGAGGCTTTGGGGAAATCCCCAAAGTCTCTGGTAAAACAATGAAATGGGAGGAGCCGAGGGCAAGGGCCTACAGAATCATAGAGATCAGACAGGGCTATGGATGGCCAAGGGTGGGATTTTGAATTCTAGGTGGGGGATGCATGGGCCAAGGTGCCGAGGTGGGAAGAACTAGGAATTGTTTGGTGTCCAATGAACAGTCCAGCCAGGCAGGAGGCCCAGCGGCATGTGTGAAAGCAACAGGTGATGGATCTTGAACTGGAGGCCGGGGCCCACCAATAGAGGGCATTGAATGCCAGGCTGAGGAGCTGGGATTCAGGGCCACCAGCAGTAGGGAGCCACAGGATGCTGTGGAGCAGGGGAGTAATGAAGAACAGAGCAAATGGATGTGTGTTTCTTATCTGCAGTCAGCATGCTTGTTTTCTAAATTCTAGAGGCTGCCCAGTTAAGCCCCCAGCATTTGTCACAAGAACTTGGGAAAACTTAGCGTGTGTTCATAGGAATAGGGCAATGAATGACAGATGGCCACTGATTGCTTTCATACCCCTTGAGCTCCAGGCTTGGGTCAGACCAAAGGCAGGGCCCACATCAGCCTTGGCATGATGCCCCTGGACCCTCATAGCCCAAGCTATGCCAGTCTCCTGACAGCCTCTCAGCAGCAAGGCCAGAAGATTCCCCCGGGGGGAAGAGCAGCCCCTTGAGAGCCCTGCGGGATTCCTTTCCTCGCCTGGAGCCAGGACTGTACGCATTAAATGTGAATGGCCACATGGCAGGGAGAAGCAACCTGAGCTTTGAGGCCCAGTTGTTTTCTGCTCTGCAACTCTCAAGCTGTGTGACCTTGGACATGTCCCTTCACCTCTCTGAGCCTCCCGTTTCCTCATCTAGAACATGGAGCTGATGATGGCTCACACCTCATTGTGTACCTGGACTCATGCAGATGAAACACAGAGTAAGCCTAGGTAAATGCAGGGAGCTGTCAGCTCCAGACTTGGTCTGCATTTTGGGTGACAAAAAGGTCTCAGAGCGAGTCTCTTCGGTGAGAGAAAGCCCTCACCCAGCCTCTGTCTCGGGCTGCTTCTCCCATGTCTCCGTCAACCTCAGGATACCCAAGGTGACAATCATAATGGACACTCTGTTTCCGACAGTAACTGAAAGAACCACAGCACATCTGGATCACAGTGCCCCTCGGTGACGTGACCTGAGGCTGGTTTCATGGCGCTAACACAAAGCTCTTGGCCTCACCTCCAACCTTCTTAACCTTTGCTCAGGTCATGAAACTCCTTAAAATGTACCACAGCTATGCACCCCTTTCCCAGTGGTGTGTCCAGTTCCGCGGCCCCCAGAGTTTCCTGAAAAGTTCTGGGAAAACAGAATCCAACTAACGTTCATTGAGCAGATACTCCCTGCCAGGCACTGTGCTAGGAGCCGGGAAGACAGCAGAGAGTAAAACGGGCCCTGGAGTAGCCCTCCCAGGATTCTAACCTATAGAGTTCAGCTGGTGGTAAGTGCTAAAGAGAGAACAAAGCAGGGAAGGCCAGAGGAAGTGCCACAGATGGGTGTGGGGTTTTGAAATGTTACATAGGGAGGCCAGGTGACATTTGTGTCCACGTTAAAGGAAAGGAGCGAGCCAGCGCCATAGATTTCTGGGAAAATGCGTTCCAGTAGCAGGAACGGCCGGTGCTAAGGCCCTAAGAAGGGATGTACCTGGTGTGTTGGGGAAGAGTGGGGAAGCCTGGAGCTCACTAGCAGAGTGAGGGAGGGCAAGAGGGAAGATGATACTATCCAGACTGGGGTGGGGGGCACGTCGTGCAGGACTTTCTAGAAGGCAATTCCCTTTTACCAGGTGAAAGGGGGAGCTAATGCAGGTGCACAGACGTTAGGGACTGGACCCGGATTTGGGGAGGAGGTGACTGGGGCGGGGGGGGGGGGGGAGGAAACAGAGCCACCTGTTAGGTGACTACTGGAGTGACCCAGGTGGGAGACGCTGGTGGCAGGGCCCAAGGGTAGTAGTGGAGAAGGAGAGAAGGTTGGGATTGTGGATGCACCTTCAAGATGGAAACAGAATTGTCCGCTCCTCTGGATGTGGGGTGAGCGTAAGAGAATCAAGGAAGACTGCAGGGAACCCAGCTGGGGCAACTTGAATGATGGAGCTGTCATGAACTGAGGTGGCAGACGTCAGGAGAAGTTGGTTTGGGGATGGCCAGTAGCTCAGCTCGGGCCATGCGCAGTTTGAGATGCCTAGTGGCCATCCAGGTGGCAGTGACACAGGTGCAGCTGTCGCCTCACAGGCTCCCAGGACACTTGGGCGCGTGGACATCACCCACCCCACTGGGGAAGCAGAGGGGAAGTGACATGAGGGCAGAGTGGAAGGGTCTGGGGACACGACCCCATCTTCCGCCTCCTGGACCAGTGCACTTTGAGGAGGAGGATCAGATTTTAAAAGCACTCTGCAGGACGCCTGGGTGGCTCAGTTGGTTGAGCGACTGCCTTCGGCTCAGGTCATGATCCTGGAGTCCCGGGATCGAGTCCCGCATCGGGCTCCCTGCTCGGCAGGGAGTCTGCTTCTCCCTCTGACCCTCCTCCCTCTCATGCTCTCTGTCTCTCATTCTCTCTCTCTCTCAAATAAATAAATAAATAAAATCTTTAAAAGCACTCTGCAGTGCTCTGTGATAGACTCCCTTATCCCCTGGTCCGCTGTGTTTGATCCGAATGTCTTCAAGACACTCGTGAGTTCTCTCTTGCTGACGGGGTCATGGTGGCTCTCGGATGACTCCCCCTCCTTGCAGGAAGGGACAGGCCAGGGGCCAGGACCCCACTGCAGCCTTGTCAGGGGTGAAGGTAGGGACTGCGATCAGTTCCATCGCCAGAGAGCAATAACTTCTCCAGGCCGCTGGCCCTTTCCAGAGCAGCCTCCGCGGGAGGTGGATTCCTATCCAACAGCCTGGCTGAGCCTTGCACCCGCATCCGGCCACGCTCGCCCGGGCGCACCGGGGCTGCGGAGAAGGGGTCCGACACCTGTGCCTCGCGGTAAGGCAGGGACGCCCCTCCTCAGCCTGGGAACTTTGGGAAACGCTGGGAGGCAAGCGCCCACCTCCGTCTCGCCTACGTAGCCCACGAAGGGACTTTGGTTGGTTCTCACAGGGGGCCCCAGCGCTTTCCGCGGGCTGAGGGCGTGGGCGCAGAGAGAAGGAGGGGCCGAGTGGGCGGCGGGCCCACCCCTTTATTCCTGGCCCGCGGCTCGACCGAGCGCGACCAGATGTGGTGGAGACAGGTCGCGACTCAGAGGTGCGGGCAGGAGCTGTGATTGGGCTCTGGGGCTTTCGCGGGCGCTGCTGCTGTCGGACCGGACGCGGCGTCCGTGCGCTGAGCTCAGCCCCCGGCGCTGCTACCACCCAGGAAGTCCAGGTTAGGAGACGCACCCCGGCCGGGGACCCTGGAGAAGGGGCGTGGGCCAGTCCCCCCGGGTAGCGGGGGAGGGGAGCCGCTGGCCTCCGCGCCGGGGCAGAGGGCGGATAGCGCGCTCTGACCCGCTGGGCGGTTCACAAGCAACTCATGTTCCTACAGAAGCCGCAGGTGTCTGCCCCGGGATAACCCCTTGCAGAGAGGGGGCCGGTGCAGCCTAGCTCGGGAAGGGGCTTCGCCGGCCGCCGGCCAGTGGGGAGGGAGACGGGCTGGCGCGCCTGGGCTCCTGGCTGAGCATACCGGCGGGCAGCACAGACAGGGTCTGCGCGGAGGCGGGGGTGGGGGCGGGCAGTGGAGGAGGGGATGAGGGAGAGGGCGGGGGACGGGAGAGGGGAAAGGAGGATGCGAGGCGAGGCGCGGGGGCTGGTGGCGGGGGTTGCAGTTCAGTAGCCACCACCTGAGAGCTCTGGTCCCCACCGCCGTCACAGCAGGTCGGCTTGGCTGTCCGGGCGGGAGCCAGCTAGCCGACGCGACGCCAGTGGGACGGGCGCTACCCACCCAGCAGCCACCCCTGAAGGTGAGCGCCCTCCCAGGGCGAGGGGGGAGGGGGTCTGGCCGCCAGCTCTGGGGTCAGTCTCCGCTCAGAATGGGAAAGGGGTGTGTGTGTGGGAGAGGGAGGGATTGGACAGGCTACTTTACGGTGAGACTCTGGTCCCTGTGACGCTCTGGTGTCTTCCAGGGATCTGCTCTCGCTCTCTCTCCCCCCTCCCTCTCTCTCTCTCTCTCTCTCTCTCCCCCCTGGTGTCCCTCTAGCACTATATCGTCGTCGTTCCGTCGTTTTCTCTCGGTCTGCCTGTGCCCCTCTCGGTTTCCGTCTTTCCCTCTGTCCCTCTCGGTCTCTGCCAGTGTCGCACGCTGTCTCGCCCTGTCGCTAGTGAGTGCTGGCTCTCCCGCTTTCCCCGCTCGCTCTCCGTCTGTCAGGGGCGCGCACGGCTCACCAGCCAGCTCTGCCCAGAACGCGGGAAGGCTACCTGCCGTGTGCGGGTTTCCCAAGCGCGCGGGGCTCCGCCTGCTGCCCTCGGGCGAGCTCCATCCGCTCGTGCCCGGGGGCCCTCGGTCACCCCGCTGTCGCTCCTCCCCATCAGCGCACCGTCTAGACGGGCCACCTGCCACTGAGAGCACCGACCGCCTCCAGCTGAGCGCGGAGCCACCGAGGTAAGTGCGGCCGTGGCCCTTCCTTCCCTCCCGCACTCCCCAGCTGCCCTGGATCGAGTGCACTGGAGAAACGAGGCGACCGCAGCGAAGCCATCCTGCGGCCGTTTTCCCTTTCAAAGAGTGGCAGGAGGGCCGGGGAGGCCCCTTGGGCGGCCGCCGCGCTTCCGCTGCCCCCGGCCCCATGCGGCAGGGAAACTCGGCGTTTCGGGGCTCAGCGCTGGCGGGGTCGCGGGCGGGGCAGCGCGGCTTCCCCTTTAAGGCCGGAGCCGCTCGTCGCCGTGAGTGTGAGGGTGTGTGAGTGTGCGGCGTGCGTGTCTCCTCCTCCCCGAGTGACACAGCAGTGAGAAATGCCTATCAGTAACTTAAACCCCCGAAACTCCACCTTCCGGGCGCGCGGCGCGGAGCCGGGCGGTGGGAATGGAGCGAGCAGATTGAGGCCGCCGCTGCAGCGCCGCCGGCATGAACTTGGCCGCGAGCTGAAGCAGCCGGCGGCGGGCGGGCGCGGGGGCACCGGCCGCTAGCCAGGGGGTGATCTGCAACCGGGCCGGGCCACTCGGCGGGTGCCCGAGGCCAGGCTGCCTGCGCCGGCGGCCGCCCGCCCCTCGGGCACTGCCCCCGCCGCCGCCGAGGGAGCTCCGCAGCACGGTAAGACTGAGGGCGGGAGCGGGGGGTCCGGCTGCTCTGGGGGCTCCGGGGGGCACTTGTGGCCCCTACTTGTGGTTCCTGTCACGGAGGAGCTGGGGGACCCCAAAGTTTGCTCCGAGCACACGGCCCACCTGGCGCTACGCGCGGCCGGCTCCCCTCTCGAACTGGCCGGGCCGGCCTGAGCGCAGCTCCCATCGCCTGGGACTTCGGCCTCTGCCTGCTCCCCGGCGCCCATCGGTGTCTGGAATCGGGCGGGGGCAGTTAAGCACCGGGGGCGGGGGGGTGTGTGCGGAAGGCAGAGGGGCGCGAGCCACACGGGCTTCTCTGGCCCTGCCGGGCTCCCCGGAAGGCTCCCAGTCCGTTCCGGCGCCCCCCGGGCCGCTGGCGGCCCGGATGCCACCGGCGACGCTCCCATCGCATGCCAGCTCCCTGAGCCTGGGCCAGTCGACAGTGGGCGCTGGGCACAGGATTCCACCCCCCCCCCCACACACACCCCAACCCGGTTTGCCGCCACTGAGCGGGAGTGTGGAGTGTGCGTGCGCCGAGCCCGCTGCCTGGCGCTCCCTCCCCTGCCAAATCCTCCTCTGGAGAGCAGCCCCGAGCAGAGCTGGCGGCTCGAGGCAGCCCCGACTGGGCTCCTGCCCGGAGCTCCCCGGCGCCCCCGCGCTCGGAGCTCCCAGGCCTCGGAGCGGCGGCAGAGCCCGGCGCCCGGCGCCGGCAAGGGCGGGCGGGAAGCCCCCCGGAGCGCCGCCAAATACTTTTCTGGGCCAGTTGGCTCGGCTAGGCTCTGTCCCGATGCAGTGTGTCCGAAGCCACTTGGAAAACTGGCCGGACCGTCTGATTTTGATCCGTGATTAAATGCGGACTGAGCAGACACTAATAGGATTAGCCTGCCAGAAAACTGCCCTGAAGTCGTCGGAGCCTGAGCAAACTGACGCACCTCGGCCGGGGGCTTAGCCCTACCGCGCTCCTGCAGCTCAGTGCGGCTGAGCCGGGCACCCCGAGTGTGGGTGTGAGTGTGTGCGCGGGAGGGAGCACAGGATGGCCGGGGGACGTGCAGAGAAGGGACTCCGCTTGCTGGGGTGGCTTGTCGTCGTTTGGCAGCAGAAGGATTCCCCCCGGGGTGCCGTCCCCACAGCGAACGTGTCCTTTGCGGGTAGCCGACCGAGGCCGGCGCCGGGACATTGTCTGTGAGGGCGAGCGAGCCGAGCGGACGAGAGGCGGCCGCGCTGGAACAAAGACGCAAAGTCTCCCTGAGCCCAAGCAATTTCGAAAGACTTGGCGGGGAAGAGGGCCCGGGTCTCCCAGGGGAGACCCCCGCGGGAATCGTGCGGTCCCCACCGCCCCGGCCCCGCGCGATCGGGTTCCCGGGCTGCAGCGAGCCGGCAGGCAGCATCGCAGCGGCGCAGCCCAACCCTTGGCAGGCGCGGGCCGCCGCCCGAGTGCCCACGGGCCGGGCGGGGTGGGCCTCGCACCCGCGGAGGCTTCCCGGCCGCCCGGCCGCTTGGGGCTCCCGGAGGCCGCGCAGCTTCTCCCCCCCGCCCAACCACCCCACCTCTTCTTGTCTTTATAGATCCCCACTCCCTCCTACCCCCGCCGCCGCAGCCGCCAACAATCCGCTTTATAAAAAGCCCCTTTGTTTCCCAGGAGGCTGGAGAGAGGGAAGGGGGAAAGGGACGCAGAGGCAGGGGGCGGGGGCGGCTGCCTCCCAGTGGCTTCGAGCCGCTCGGGACCGCAGGGCAAGTGTAGGCGGTGGGGGAGGGGGTTGTGTTTCGGAGACCTTCCCCAGGAACCCCAGAAGGCGTGGGGAGCCCCTGGCTCCTGGCGCCCACCGCGCGCCCCGCCTGCCGGCGGCGGACACCCGGGGCTCCAGCGGCCGGGACGGCCCGGCCGGCGGCGCGGCGAGCGGGAGGACGCGGAGGCCAGAGGCCGAGCACGCTCCGCGGGAAGGGCAGATGCGGCTCGCCGCTGCGCTCGCCGGGCGCGGGCATAGGGGGCGCCCTTTCCTCGGTTTCGCTTTGCAGCCGGGGCCCCTCACCTCCCGGCTCCGGGCCGCTGTCGCGCCCGCGGGTGGCTGAGACGACAGCAGTGTCTGTGAGGCTTTCGCCACCCTGCGGCTACACTCCTCACTCCTTCCTGCGCCCTCCTGCCGGCCACCCTCTCCCCCCTGCCCCGACACCGCACACACCGGGGCTCAAAAGCTCCGCGGTCCCCCTTTGTTTGGAGGCAGGGAGGGAGTCGGAACCGCCACCTCCGAGGTTCGTGCAGCCTTGGCGGGCAGTGGGGACGGGGAAACACCTCCAGACCGTGCGTCGGTCTGTCGCCTCTGCACGGACCCAGCGCCGGACAGCTGGGGGTGTCCACGACGCATGGGCTGCCGGCGTTAGTTGGATTGAGAATTCAGCGGGCCCCTATCCTCTACACCTGCCCTTCCCCCCCAAACTTGTGGGAACGCGGACTTGCACTGAGGAGTGTTAAACCTGTTAGAAGTAACCTTTCGCCATCCTGTCGGCCTGCCCCGCCTCCGCCCCCACCTCCCCCACCCCCCAAAGCTGTCCGCGTCTCTCGTAAAGTTTGTTCTGTTGGGAAAAGGAATACTGACAATAAGAAAAATTGACAAATAAGGAGAAGTGGGCGGGGTCCAAAGAGCGAAGTCAGATTCCTCCCGGTCTCTCTCGCTGCCTCCGTCCCCCTTCCCATTTAATCTCAGGGCGACATATTATTTGTACCTTTTGCATATCTTTCCCCTAATCCACTCCACTCCCATCTCTGGAGGTTATTCGACGGTGTTAGTCAAACATTTGTTCTCTGGTTTTTGGAATCGAAGGTGAAGCTTTAACGTCCCACCCACCCACATCCCAACTGCATCTAAAACCACAAGAAAGTACTCAAAGGGTAAACCGCGGGTTCTACCTTCTCCTCCCCCTTTTGTGCTTCCCTTCTGGAGCAAGATCATTGGAAAATAAAGCTGCTGATGTGCGAGATGGAACATATGGTGCCTCCATAAGAGAGTAGCTGAAATGGCCTTGAACCTGCCGGACAGACCAGCTGTTTGCTGCCAGCCAGAGCAGCTAATCAGCTTCTTTGCCTTAAAGTAACATCTCTCTTTTCTCTTGATGACCAGTTTGCATATTAAATAGGATATTCTCCAGAGGAGAAAGGAGATGGGCTTCTACATTGCTTTGTGCTTTGGTGGCTCTCTGCACGCCTGTCCCCTACTCTGGGTGCTGACTTGGCCTCTCTCCCCATGCTCCCCATGCCAGGGGACAGTGTGTATGTTTCCTTTAATACCGGTAAAAGAATGTTGCTCAAAGTGGAACTTGGGAGGAAGGAGGCAGGAGAGGGGCTGAGATATTCCCACATGCCTGGGAGGAAATCTCTCCGTTTTGTTCCTATTGGCTTTAGAAAAACTAGCAGCTCCCCCCCCCCCAACACACACACATTAAAAATATCCCAAAGATCTGCAGCTCTTCCTTATAAGATCTCCTTAGAAATCATCCCTTCCGGCTGTGACCATTTTCAGTTTTCCTTCAGTACAATGTGTTTGAGAGGGGGAAAAACAGTTTGGCTTTAGAAGAAGAAAGGCTTGAGGAGATACAAGGAAATTCCATGTTAGGAAATCATTAGCAAAGGGTGACTTCGTCTGTTTTCCTGCCACTGACGCTGACAGTGACACAGATGTGTGGGTTGAAACAGGAACGTCATTGAATTTTTAAGCTCAACCAGGAAATAGCCTGTTGCTGGGGTGGGGGCGGGGGCTACGCGTTCACTGCATCTTAAGGTAGGAGATTTACTGTTGTCGATCCTTTTCAATAAGAAAAGGGATTTTTTTTTTTCCCCAAGCCTGGCCAGCATGTTTAATTTTTTCCCATTTTAAGCAAATCACCTAAAGGCTTAAAATGCACCTGTTAATAGATCATCCCTAGGAAACTCAGTGTCTGTTCAGGCCTCTGAAATGGGCAGAAACTCATCTTAGATCAGTGGTTCTGGCAATAGTTGGACTACCCTCCTTCTTTAAAGGGGCTTCCTCTATGCAGTTAACCTTTTCTTTCTTTCTTTCTTTCTTTTTAAAGAGTCTGATTTTCATTTTGCATTGGAGAGATAATTAGCCTAGGAGCTGGGAAACTTGTGTTCTAGAACACTTTCCCCACTAATTAGCTGAGTGATCTTGGGCAAGTCCATCCCCCCTCCTTGCTCCTTCTGCCCCCCCCCCCGCGCCCCCCTTCATGACCTGGGAGTCTGAGTCCCTTTCAGCTCCAACACACTGCGATTTGTAAATGAAATAGTCATTTTCTGGGAAAGTAAAACACCTTTGGGGAAAATGGCTACATGTACAAAGAAATGGGGCTGAGATT